GGCCCGTTTCACGAGCCTCTCACTTCCGCACTTCTTGTACTTCCTAGCACGCGCCGTACGTAGTACACGAACTGCGCGTGCTCCGCAGCGTGCGGTCGCTGGACTGGGACACAGCCTGTGTGACTGTTGGAGGCTGAATAATCTGCATCTCATGCTTGGTTCAAGTGAACAACGTTCAAGGACTGATTGCTGGTTAAGATCTAACAGTTTGATGAACGACATCTGCAGCTGTGAAGCCTCTTACTGACCACTGTTTGATTTCCTCGTCCATCTCATTAACTAAAGACAGACATCGATCTCTTACTTGGAAATTTTATAACAGCCTTCTGCATAATGACGACTTCTGTATTGAAGTGAAAAATCTAATGGTGGAAATAAACTGGATTTGTCACAGGTGAGCAAATAGGAATGGTTCAAATTCCAAGTGAAACAGACGGCAGTTCAAATGTGCCAATAAACAGAAAAGACAGGAGCAACAAACCATTATTGAGGCATTAACAAGCTGGAAACAGGATTCATCACTGCATGAACAATTACAACTAAATAATTTTCAATCCCAATGTGACAAACTGTTGTTAGAGAAAACCAACTATGTTCGTTCAAGAGCTGGATGGATGGAGGAGGGAGAGGAAAACTTTTCCTACGTCTTTAATTTAGAGAAACAGATGAACTGAAAAGAAGATTCAATCACTGGATATCGAGGAGATTTGAGGACCGAGACGAAGTAAATGAGGAAACATTACAATTCTGCAGCAACCTTTATAAGTCAAACTATTCAGCGGCGAATGTGCTGTGTTTGCTGAGAGAGGCTTTATTGGAACATTGGACGGGGGTGTGGAGGATCATATGAAGGGTAAACTTGCAATAGAAGTGCAGGACAATCGAACAAATACCCAAATCAGCAGGAGCTGATGGGCTAACGGTGGAATTTTACTCCTTTCTCTGGGATCACATTAGATCATTGCTCTACAGTGCTTATTATCTCATCAACTAATCTGTCACAATGAAACAAGGTCTCATAACTTTAATCACAAAAAACAAAAACAAACTTCACGACATGAAGACATCTGCCAGTCGTTGGTTGACCAGGGATATCACTGCATTTGGTAGTCGTCCTCTCCAAGCTGAAGGTCTCTCTAAATTAATTTATCCACGTCATTCTCTGCATGTTTCTCCACAGAAGAAACAGTTAAGAAAGCAAACTATTTTTCAATTCCTGTGGAAAACCCCCAAATATATTAAGAGATCCCAGCTGGTTAAAGATCATGAGAAGGGCGGTGTTAGAGCCTTTTGAATCAGTGGCAGGAACTTTTCAGATTAACTGGCTCAGAGCTTGTTTGTTCCAGGCTGATGTGGTGTCGTATCCTCAGATCTTCATTCAAGGAATTACGAGGGATTGATTTTTTATTAGGATGTGACTTTGAGATCAGTACAATTCCTGTTAAACTACCTAGTTTCCACAAACAGATTCTTTACTTCTGGAAAATGATTTTTGCACAACTTCTCTCCCCACGTGTTGAGAATATGGAACAATAGAGTTAAACCGCTAACAGAAAGTTATTATTGATCAGGAACTGGTTTGAGCATCTTGTTTGTAACTGACTTGTTGGACTCTGATGATGCTTTATTGGATTTTGTATCTTTTCTGAAGAGACACAATTTAGACTGTCCACTAAAACATTGCAGAAAGGCTTGTCACGCTATCCCATTAGCTCTGAAGCAGCTAACATGCAACACTTTGTTATATTCTGACGTCAAACCAGCGCTGCCAAGTTTAAAAATGGGAAACTGTAATTTAAATGATAGCAAATGTAACAATAAGTTTATTAGTGTGAACTTCAAATCAATTCCTTTCCATGAGTTTGACTTGGGCAGACGTCTGCAGGCCTTTCACGGGCATCAGTCGCTCATGGAAAAAGCGTTTTCTGAATTTGTTAAGTGGCCTGTTCCCCCAAAAGTTAAACAAACCCATTTTAAGGTAATTAATAATATATGCCCAGTATCTGAGGAGGTTTACATTTGAGGTGGACCTGTGCTCTTTTTCTGATCCTGTATCAGCTGTTTTTTGGTCAGCTGGAGAGAGTTTAAATGGAAAATTATCACCAGACTCTACAGAACTGCTCAGATGGGCCCAACACATGTTCATGCTGGAGGAACTGTGGACACACTCTGCCAACCATACCCAAATATTTGGGCTCTGCCCTAAACTGGAGGCAGTTTTCAAAGTAAATATTCCATGACGTCCTCGTGTTGGGAAGGAGTCCAGAACTTACTGACTGCAAAGCCACAACTCACATAAATAAATTCCTCACTGCAGCCCTAAAAACCATCAGGTGGTTAAAACCAGAACCTCCCACATGTAATATCTGGATCCAGAAAGTGTGTGGTGCCTCTCTGAGGGAACACGTTACATACTCAGACTACAGAGACTGTTTTTGAGAAACGGGGGACCCATGCTGCCTTTGTTAATACAGTGAAGAGCGCCACCTAGTGTTGGGAGCTCTCTTTCTCAGCGCACACACACATTTATTTATGGATGGCACAGGGAACGGGGAGACCGGAGGACTGCCTCGTATGAGGCCAAAGAGTGCTTATGTATGTATGCTTGCCTTCTTTAACATGCTGTAGCTGGACCCTGAGCGAGCGTATGCATGTGGGCACAGTTGTATGGAGGAAGTGTGGGATCCATCACTGCTCATTAAAAATAAATAAAAATGGAGTTTAAAAGAACTGCACAGCTGGTTATCACTGAAAGTCAATGACATCCCACAGTTTAATATATTTGATATTACCTTCTGGATCATTTACATCCACGTATCTCTGCTGCGACTAACATTAAGTAAATACCTTATACACTGTAGCAAGTGGAGAAATAGTAAACCGTCCTTCACATGGTCCATTAGTGACTTTAAACATCATGTGACTAAAGAAACTGAAATCAGACGATGTGTTTGTCGTTACTGTTTCCATCTTTGCCTCCAGTGTTTGTTTGTTTAGCCTGTGCTCCCTTTTCTTATTCTGCACTTTTTTTTTGGACAACTTTATTTATGATTTTCCAATGTGAGAAAAGTACAGAAAAATATAACTCGAATTGCGATTACAAACACTGCCATTGTGAAACCGGTTGTGCCACGCAGTGGCAAACAAGTTGGATGCAGGAAAATGTATGGGCACAAACAACAAATACTACCATGTGAACAAGGCAAAAAAAACCCCCCAAAAAACAAAACAAACAAAAATAGAATAAAATAAATACATAAATAAAAGCTGCATTGTGCGCAGTTCTTTCCGGCTTGCTACAGATAGTAGGTGGCTTTAAAGAAAGAAAGAGAAAAAACCCCAAACACAGATAAAAG